ATGGATTGTTGCTGTGGTTTCTACACCCCATAATATACTGCTGAGCTCACTTTTTAAACCAGCAAACCTAAGCTCATAATCACTCCAGTTAAAGTTCCTGAACCCCCTGAACTTCATGCTTTCTTTCTACCTAAGAGACCACTCAAACAGGAAGCAATGCCTCAGTCATTTACGGCTCCATTTTCAGGTTTCAATGGAAACTGAAACCATTTTTAACCAAAGAGGACAAAATATCATTTCACCAAAACCCCCCGACATGTAAACCATCACTGACTGCACCTCTCTGTTTCCATGAAGTTGATTTAATTTAAATAAAGTGAGGCTCACTATGGGAGCCTAAATGATGGGTTGCAGACATTAAACCACCCCACCAGGCGAGCAGACACGATGAAGACGTCTTGTCCTGCGTCCTTCTCGTCAGTGTGCCAGTTTTCAGTTCTAAACTTATCTTCTCGTACTTTTAATGTATTCGTGTTTGTGCGTCAGTGAGGCTTTGCTCTTGTCCATTTTCCAGCGCACACCCACAGCCCTTCTGTCCACTTCCATACCAGCGTATGCACAAACCGTCACGTCCAACTTTCTGTCAGGTTACAAAAATCAGAGCCTTTTTCTGTCAAACAATACAGACGATAATTATCGGAGGCAGTGATGAGTGGCAACCTGAAGCTGTTCTTTCCCAGAACACATGACTTTCTCATGTCTTAAATAGTTTACTTTTCCAGAATTTACAGACTTTCCAGGAAATCACTTTACTTTTTTAACCATGACTGGAATTACCTGGGTGCTTTCTCACATTTCAGGTTATTTTATTAGATTACACAGGATCCCTTTGAGTTACTTTTTTGAACTTCAGATGTTAATTTAGTACTAATTAATAATTTGTTGTTCACTTAGTTACTTTCTAGAAACTAACTGGTTACTTTACTTAAACTTAAGTTACTTGCCTGAATATCTGAGGTTCCAAGAAACTTAACGTTTGTTACTTTCAAGAAACTTTGAATATTTGTTCTTGGAACTCGGTGATTAACTTTAAGGAACTAACATTTCTGCTTTCTTGGAAATCACTCTCAGGCTCTAAGGTTTACTTCAAGATTTAGTTGTTGTTTTTTTGTCCCCTGTAAAAATGAACATTTTAATTCCCTGAAAACTAAAAAGTACTTTATCTTTTGCAGAAGCTTGATGGTGCAGATTACAACTTTTTTTCTTCTTTTTTAGGTATATAGTTAAATATTCAAATGAAAATACAACTTTAGAAGCCTAAATACCTTAACATGGTATCTGCTAGGCAGCCAATCCAGGAGTGCCGTTCAGTTTCCTTAGAGCTGATTGGCTGAACCCATTAAATAAAAATGCTTTCAATATTTACTCAAGGTAAATGTTTAGAGAGAATTGCAGACTAAATAACGTTTGAAAAAAGTGTTTCTGTAAGATTAAGATGCTTTGGATAAAGTAAAGGGAGAAAATCATAAAAACATGAAATAAAGGTTCATTGAGGATTTTCTTTTAAACATGACAAATATTAATAGGAATCACATTTTCTTTTCTGAATCAGTGAAAGGATTACAAAGTAAAACATTACTCTGTGTAAGTCAACTCAAACTGGGACTTTTTTTCACACTCAGAACTTTCTCCTCCGATTTGTAAAGTGCCAGGCTGGCTTATTAAACGTTATTCCTCACGACGCATTAATATGTTTTCATTTTGCGCCGTCACTCATTTTATGGCTTGGAGACGTGCAGCTGTGCAGATGGTTCTGTTCGATGTGCGGAGCGAGAGCCGTCCCGCGCGGCGTCTCGTGTTCTGTTTGGACGGCGCCGCGCCGAGGGGCGAGCGAGGCGCGGAGGCATGGTTCGAGTTAGGAGTTTCCTCTGGGGAGGCAAAGACAGATGGAGGAAGGGACACGAGAAATGTACTGAAGGAATTAAGGTTTTGTAAAACATTTGTTGTGTGCTGTTGAAATCCCTGGGAGACGTCTGAATAGACCTGATGAAATGTGCAGCACGTATTTCATCCATAGTTTTAATTTCCTGGGTTTAGCTTTTGTGTTTAATACTTGGATGAAACATATTTGACACACTTAGAGAAATCGGCAGACAGAAAATGACACGGTTGAGAAGGATATTATGCCCTAATAGTCCTAATGCCCGATTTTTACATTTGCCATTAAACATGACTTACTTAGCACTCATGCATTATTAGGTATTTAGTTGTTGCTGAAGTGTCATAAAAATGGATCAGGAGACAGTTTGTAATGGCTGAGAATGTCCTGATCATTAAACAAACAGATTTTAGGGCCTGGAGGCTATTTCTCTAAGCAATTAAATTAACTTCTGTCTCCTTTTTATAGATTAGTCCATAATAATTTTTATGAAGACTTCTCTATCAAATATGACCAATAAAAATATAAACATGCTTCATTTACACCCCCTGCTCATACAGCACCGTTCCCTACTCAATGTGTTATTTAGTCACACACCATAAGTCAATGTTGGGGGGCAGCAACTGCTACCAAGCTGGTTATCTAAATAATCTATAACTTATTTTATTCAGTGCATTTCAGTTATTCCTGCAAGATTTAGACAAAACTTTACTGCCTAGTTTTCCAACTTTTCTGGATTCCTGCATTGGGAAGGAGGGCGTTCGTGCTGCATAGCGTTCCGCCCTCCGTCAGGCCGAGCCGTAAACCTCGAGAGGGAACCTAAAGGGTGGAGGGTGAGGAGCTTAATAAGATGCAGACACACAACATATACAAAAAGTAAGACTCTCATTTTGCCTCCAGGTCCTGACCTGGCTTTTATTTAAAGCAAAAGTTCACCTTAAAAAGTTTGTAGACTGGATTCTTTACACATTTTTCATGTTCAAATGTCCATAAATCTCAACGTTTATTTGCCGGTTTTTAAGTACTAAAAGTCACTATGAATCTATATGTGATGCTTCTACAGTCAGGTTTGACAAACAGGATTGATGGATGGATGGATGAATAACGGGGCTTCACACCTTTTCGTACAACGACATAAGGATTAAAAGCTTGAACATTTTTTCCATCCCCAACTCAAATAGACCTGAGATGTACTAAAATACTTTTCCACAAGGACCACATGAGAACAAACAGGGGCTCCAACTCCAGTCATCAGCAGCTATAAGCTCCTTCTCTGCTGGTAAATCTGGGCTTTGACCAGTCCTTCCCAGTCCAACCCCACCGGATTCGTCTCCGTTTGAAGAGCCTGTGTGCTTCTTCCTTTTTATGGAACGATCTAAGGGGTGCCATAAGATGAGCCCAGCGATTGATTGGCAGCAGACTGCATTCATGGACTGGCCCATAGATTTGCATCATCAACAACATCTCAGCCACCATTTTCAGTTTGCAGTGAGACCATGGAGATTGGCGATATTTCCGTAGTCAAAGGGTTGAGGACCAAACCTTTTGAACGGTGGCATCGACTGGATGGGGCAACCCACAACAAACAAATATGCAGAGCGATTTTGTATAAACTGGCTGCCCAAAGATAAACACAAAATGACAATCAGAGTGTTGACCACAGCGTCTCACTGCCCACCATGTTCCCACATTTCCCCCCCACATTCCTGCCAGTATTCACACCCACTTAGTGTGAACACTCTGCTGATGGAGACACACCCAGCTGGCTAGAACCAAATCAGATATGTGGTTCTGCTTTGAGACTTGACACCCCAGAATCAGATAGTTGAATTAAATCTTCAGCATCAGGTTCAGCAGAGGCCTGGTGGGAAGTCGTTCGATATCTTATAACAGGGATGCAGCTGCAGGCAGCAGCTCTTAAGGACCAGAGTTATAGACGCCTGGTGTAAAATAAAACGAAACGTTCAGAGTCTGAATTCACTCCATGCTGACTTTGTTATAAAATAATTCAGGTCAGATTAGACGGCTTGTTGTGGAGGAAAGATAAGTACGGTAATGTTACGGCTGGTGACAGTATTTACTGAAACTGCCTATAAAACTGTTTGATCTCTCACACTTTCTGTTCCTCTTATCAAGCGATTTAGAGACTTTTATCACTAAATTATTCGTAAGAGGGAGTTGGGTGGATTTACAAATACAATGGCCGGTACAAGGACTAATGGGGAGTGAAAAGGCCTTGGCATCTCTCCAGGTTGGTTTTGTTTTTTCTCCTCCAACCATCTTTGAATAGATTCAGGTTTAAAGGTCTCATTTTTCTGGTACATTTCCACTTCTCCTTTTGCATCCAATTTAAGATCTGCTGCACTTCCTCTTGGAGTTCACTGGGACAGTTCAAACAATGAGGTCTCATTGCCTTCTGGACACATCTTAAAGGGGGAAGACCCAAAGACAGACTCAGAACTCTCCTCCAGGACCGTTTATCTCCATCTGACGTGGGAACATCCTGAAGACCATCAGGACTAACTGGATGTTTGCCTGGGGGGAATGACCATTATTATGAAGACATAATCATATCTAAGCAGAAAATGGGTGAATTTATCTTTAATCAGGCATTTAAAATGAGGGTAAAGTCACACCAGCCCTGTTCATTTTAACTGAACTCTAGTTCACTTCCTGGAAAGTTCAGTTCATTTGGGGAACTGAACTTTGGTTCGCAATCAAACTCTGATTCACCTACAAACTTAGATCCATGTTCGGTTGAATGAACTCTAGTTTGGTTCAAATGAATATGTCCCAGCTGATTTAACACGTCTGACGTCTCTTCTTCAAATTAACTGGATTAATTAGTCGACCATTTGCCTTTAAAAACACAGTTAAATATCTGCCCTGTTTCACTGTTTCCTGAAAGTTCCCGACAGCACTTAGATTTGTCGTCCTCTCTGTCTGCCATGTATTGACTGTAAAGTGATCCTGGTCTACTTTGTATTTCCGTGTGCAGCCTTTGTTGAGTCAGTAATCAGGACTGATTGCTCCTCTTTTCGCCTCTAATTGGCTCACATTAACGTCTGATCTCCCTGACTTCTACCTCCTCCTCTGATCCTTCCTTCCCTCCCTTCCTCAGGTGGCGTTCAGCTCTCCCCCGAAGACTTCACCAAGGCGCAGAAGTTCTGCAAGTACGCCGGCAGCGCTCTGCAGTATGAGGACGTCAACACAGCCATCCAGAACCTCCAGAAAGCCCTGAAACTCCTCACCACCGGCAAAGAATGAACTCTTTGTCCCTCTGCAGTCTGACTCCTCCTTCCTCCTCTCCTTTTCTTCCATCTCAACCCTCCACCACTTCTTCTCCCCTCTATCTGTCTCCAATCTGGCCCAAAGTGAGCCAATGGCGACTCTCGAGCGTCAGACGAGGACACGATGGAAATCAGACGGAACAATGGTGGCCTGTGTCCACCGCCGCTCCAATTGACGGGATAACTGACCAACCGACTGCAGGACATGTGGACTCAAAGCCTCGTTAGTGACTCCCTCCAGCTGGTAACGAGCTCATCCTCCTCGCCGTGGTTCGTATTTCACAGCAGGCTCAAAATAAAGACGAGAGAAAACATCTGTAGGTCCAAAATTCCAACCTGAGTTTGTGTCATTTTATCAACTCAAGCTTTTTGTCGTAGAGCTGATGTCAGTCAATTTCCCCAGAAATGAATTCACTGCCAGGAGGACTTTGTGCTTTCAGAGCTTCGGTTTGGTCCAGGAAGCTTTACTACAAATATAAACCTACAGATACCAGTTTGGATAAATAAATCTTGTAATTCGTGTCAATAAATTGTTTCACAGCTGGATCATAAACTCAAATTATATCAACATAAACAAAACCCTTATTTTGGCTGAAGTTATTTACCTGAATTTAATCAAATGACTTTCAACACTTAATGATAATTGTGACTTAAAGTTAGTTTTAAATTCCTGTTTATTTTCACACAGTATTTCAAAGTTTAACAGGTGATGGGATCTGATTGTAAAACCTTAGGATAATCCTTCTACTGCTGGAATGTGTGGCTGATGCACATTTAATTAATTTAAAGACATTTTTCTCTTAGTGCTGTTAAATTTATGCTAGTTTCCTTTTTGGGAACCTTTACCAAGCTGACTATTGGCACCTGTGTTTGCTTGATCTCTCCGTATGAAGGCAGAGACTCTGTGCTTACAGTTGCAAACTAATGGAGTGTGACAACAAAACAAAACTTTTTAAGCCCAACATAAATGCACCAACTGTGCAGCCAATGTTTCTCAGGCTTTAAGAAATTGTTCTACTCTTATTTGAATGTTCAATGCTGAACTGAAACCTTTGAACACCTGATTATGGCCTCATTGTTGAATGTTAGTTCACAGGTAGTAATAGTTTGGGTTTTTTTTACAGCCGTATGTTGATTTAACATGCTGACTCAAACCATTAGCATGCTACTGTAACATTAGTCCTTTCCTGCTAATAAACATCTTGGTAGATTTTATCCGTTCTTTACAATCTGTTAACATGACAATGAAAACATCCACAGCTTTGCTCTAAATGTCTCATTCACCACTAGAAATTTGTACAATAAAGGTTTAGAGGTTGTTCTGAATTATTTGGTAACTAATCATTTCCCGTTAGCATACTAAAATTAGCTGTAGAAAGTTGTTGTTATTTATAGACATGCTAACGTGATTTTTAGCAATTTTATACTACAGTGTAAAATTCTGTGAAGTTTATCTACAGTTTTGTTTCTAACATTCACTCATTTATTACAAAGTGCACCAGAGGTTAATAATTTGACTAACAGTAGAGAGGTTGATCAAATGAAGTTTCCTACTTTGAACATTAGCATGCTAAATGAGCTTTGTCATTCAAACTTTACTTTTACATGCTAATGCTAACTCACTAATGGACATCTTGGCTAACGTTGCTTTAAAATCTAACACAAAAATGAAGAAAACCCACAGCTGTTTTTAATGGCTAATAAATACACATTAAAAATGTATGATTTAACATAATTTCTACTAAGATAACGCTAACAGCAGCATGCTAAACTAGCTTCACAGTAGCATGTTCTAAGCATACTATCATGCTTATGAACATTTTCCCAACTTTATCCTTTTAACTTTTTGAAGAAATAGAACTGTTCTTATTGTCCACTAATTTTCCATAAAGTGTATTAAAAATGTCACAGTTTATAGTTTACACTTCCTGCAGTAAGACGTACAGAACAGGAGTTAATTAAAGGCACTAAACTGGTCAGATTTGACCAAACACACTACAGCCAGTTAACTGTGATTTTAATGTTACATTTAACGAGGCACATCAAGCTAATCCATGCTAACATTAGCATGTTAGCTTTGTTATAGTGAAGCTAAGTTGCTAATAAGCCAAGCTATCGCCACCTGTTGTGTTCTTCACTGTGAATAAAATCAAAGTGTTCTACCTGCTGTTCGTTACTCTCTACAACCTGAAATCCAGACTTGACCTTTAACCTGTGATAAGCTCCACATTCTTCATCTGTTGAAGGTCTGGATGCTTCCTGGGTTGAAGCAGGAGCCAAATGCTTTATGTTACCTGAACACAACACCTACAAATGGGTGGAAACTGATTTTTACCATTTCTTGACTGAGGCTTTGGCTGCAGATTAAACATTTTGTGAATTTTTCTCACCTGAGTTGGATTCATTAAGTGGAACTGGACTCATCAGACTGAGACTGAACCAACGACAAACTGCTGCTTCCTGTCCAGCTAAACCCCAGAGTGGATTCAGTCTCATTGTTGATCCTGTTTGGACCGTCGACATGGAAGAAACCGTAGAGGACGACGCAGCCAGAGGTCTGCAGAGAACCAGCTAAACCTTTTAGTTTCTGATGTTTACATATCTGTTAGCCGACCGAGACGCAGCGCTGCAGTCTGAGCTTTAAATCTTTCCTGCATTTTAATTTGAATCTAATCTTTATCAGCTGATTTAGTGACTCAAGGTTTTCACAAAGTTTGCACAAATCATCACTGCAGTTTGAATTAAATATATGAAATGATTAATTGTGTGAATATTTGTCACATCTGAAGAATCTGGACATTTACGAGTTTAAGAGTTTTTTTTTATTTCTACGAGATATAATCTGCATTCAGATTACTGATTCAGAAGTTTAAGAATGTTAAACTTCTGAATCAGATTAACATGATTTTCTGAATGTTGGTCTTATAAAGGCTGTTAAACGAGGAAAAACTTTAGACTTCAAATGTTACTGACGAGGGTTTGATTTATTTTTGCTTATCATATAAATTGCTGTTTTTCTGAGGCGACTCAGTTGAAGCTTGGCTGAAATTATTCCTAATAATCAGTTGGTATCAGTTCAACCTGCCTGTTTGTGTAGCTCTAGACAAACTTTCACCTTTTGGAGTAACTGATTGTGAAATCATCTGAAAGCGACTGAATGATCAGAGCTGGATTTGTGAAAAGGACATTACAATCATAGTTCAAAGAAAGTTCTGATTCAGACGTCATTCGGTCCAGATGGCGACCCGCAACAGTTAGATCAGGAACCAACAAGTCCAGCTTTTAAAGACGAGCAGCAGAATGTCTCAGTGTTTCACTAATGTAGGTTTACTCATCCAGGCTACAGTACAAGGCTCCAGTTCTATACCAACATGGTATTTTGCAAAAGCTAAAGTGCTAAATGAACCATATTGCTATAAAATTATAGCACACCTGCCTGCATGGTTCACTTTTCAGGAAGAGATTCTTTGAAACAGACTTTCCAGGTTTATAGTTATTGATATGGATGCAAACCACTGACTTAAGTTTAACTGTTGAATATCGGTTAATAGGATTGGAATTTGTTCCTTTTGATTAGTGACGTCGTTTTTTAGGCAAATCTTCTGACAGACAGAAAGTTGGGTCACTTCAAAGTGCTGGAGAAGTTGAAGACCTGCATAAATGTCAGGCAGCTACAGAAAGCTGCCCATATATCTGGATCCTGCTTCATCTCCAGGTGAAATCTGTGACCTCTGACCCTCATAAATGTCTGCAGTGCAGGCTGAAGGTCACAGCTTTAAGACTCCAGTAGAACCATAAAAGCTGCAAAGCAATGAGACCAGATGTTCCTCCAGATTCAGCCTCCTATGAACAAACAGATCTGAGATCAGGTAAACCTGTCCTCCCTTAAACTTCATTAAAGCTCATAGAAAATAAAACTCAAAGCCTCACAGGTTTCCTAACTGAGATTTGTTTAAAATTGGTGATACTGAGCAGAGTTTTTCTCTCTTTACGTTAATGAACAGGGAATGCATATTCACCGCATAATGTAGCTCATGTATTTAAAGAGGTGGCATGTGGTTTCAGTTTGAAGGAATCGGCCCCCGGTGGCCAGGCATTCCAAAAGGAAACCACAAATCTGCAGTGAGACTCTGCAGCTCTGACCTCAGCCTCAGTGGTCAGATCTGAATCAGTGTCGAGGTTTCAGAAACGGGTCTGAGCCTTTCATACAGCACCCACAAAAACGTAGGGATAGCTGGCTTTCGGCTGGATTTTATGGAAATGATACAAAGTTCATACTGTAATATTACGAAACGGGCAGCAGCAACGCTGATGTCCTCGTCTCAGATGCCACAATAAGAAATGTCAGTTTCTCAGTAACGTTTCATGTGATCTTGAATATCATTTATATTTGACAAAGTTTCCTGCTGCTCCCAGGCAGACCTGGGATGTTTTCACTGTTTGGTTCGCTCTAATCAAACTCTACTTCATTTGTCTAGAAAGTGTAGAGCGAACTCTACAAACCTCGGTCTTGGTTCGGTTGAAGTGAATTCTGGTCCGGTTCGAATGCACATGTGAACCCCAAGCGCTCCAAAAGCAGAAACCGGAGTACAGCGCACGGCATTCTGGGTAAATACAACCAAAACGAATGTGAGGAATCATGATGAGGTCGTGTGGATCAGCTGTCATCGTGCTGTCAGAATAAAAACGACGTTCAAACACTAATTCTGATTAAATCAGGACATTTAAGTCGATTTAAGCATCAAAATCCAGTTTTGAATTTTGTTGTTAAGCTTCTCATTAAGAACAGCAAGTTGGTACAGAGACATTTCAAGGCAGACACAGTTTTAGACAGAAGTTCTCATTAAGTGCACCTGCAGAGTGTTTTAGCTGCAGCCTGAAATTTCACCCAGATTTCTGTAACTTTTTGAGTCGTGTGTGTTCAGGTGGATCTCAGTGAATGAGTTTCAGTAAAAGTTCATTTTTGGGCAATTAAAAAAAAAAGTTTTCTTTGATACCGTTCACATGTTTCTGAGTGAATTATCTGAAAGTTCTCTGGTTTCCTATAATCTAAAACAAGAATATAAGATCGATATTCTCCTTTTATATCTTTCCAGGTGGAATAAAACAGTTTTCTGTGTTTTGTTTCACCC